AGGAAGGCCCGAAATGTGTTAAATTCGTCATAAAACCTAAATTGGCAGTACTCCATAGACATTGCAGCTGAGATATAAGAATTGTGTCTGTTTGGAAGTGAATTCAGTCTTGTCGCTTTTGAGAAGCTCTACTTCTAGCAGATGACAGGTTTTAGGAGCAGACAAAAACTTGCCTTTCAGGAGTGGCCTAGATGAACATTCAAGAAAATTGTGCCTTGCTGTGCATACACAACTTTCTCTAAACAAATAAAACTCTTAAGTATACTTTTATTAATGATATATCTGATACTGAGCAGCTTTTATGAAATCACACTCGATCTCCTTCTGAGTGTTCCTTTACTAGCCTTTTTTTCTATAATAATAAAGTCCTAGATGTGGTGGTTGGTTCTGCGGTAATTCTTGTGTAATCTGTGACATTAATCTGCAAATTCACACACTCTTCATTGAAGATTGCATACCGGTTGAAATGAACATCTATTTGGAAATTACCATTCTGTTTCTTCTGCATTAGTTATGGGTCTTTAGTAAAATAATTTGGAGTTGTTGAGACTTCTGAACTTGGGTGCGGCAGCTGAAGCGTTAAGACCGAGAAAATCTGTCATGTGCTTTGAAATTGAAAGCTTGTCTGTATAAAGGATGTTCTAGAAAGTTGGTGCTTATGATACTATTCTGAGATCAGTTAATTACTCATTGCAGTCATCTTGGCTGTGTGCAAAAGGCTTCCTTCCATCCGTTCACATATTATTCTTGATTGAAAGACTTGCTCATCAACTTCCAATTGTACCCATAAGCACTATTAAAATTATTTTTTTATTTTGGCAGTAATTGCCACAGATGTGTCCTTTGAGATCAGCAATTGTCACTGGTTGGATAACATAAAACTGAGTCTTTAATTTCACCTTTCAGCACTGGAGTTTTAAATAGCTGAAATTTGTGGCGGTCATTTCTGAAATCCTTGCAATCCAGTTTGATATGAAGGAATATTTCAACAATTCTGCTTCTAAAAACTTTTAATATTCCTAATAAGTTAAGAAAAATGCATGTCCAGAAATTTTTGTGTTTTGGAATGCTTAACCTTCATACAACCTTTTGCATTTTGGGGAAAGAGATGTCTTGATTTTCTAAATAGATACCTCTCTGTTTTGGGGTGACTGAATCTGTCTGAAGCACCAGGATCTCGTTTTGAGTAGTCTCTGCAGCAATGGACTACTTAGGGTTCTTTATTCCAATTCTGGGAACTTTTTGAAACATTCATATCCAAATAGTTTCTGATGGTTCTTTTGGAATGCTGGGAAGGTTTGAACTCCACTTTAACTCCTTTTGCAATATTTTTGATTGATATTCAATAGGTGAAATAATTCTGTGCCATATAGAGTAATATCTATTGAGTGGTGTTTGCTTTGGTCTTGTAGTACGGAGTGCGGGCAGGGGAAAAGGACTCAATTACATTCCATCTGCTCTTCCATTAGGATGATATTTGGAAGTTACAAAAACAAAATTTATGAAATGATAATTATGCAAGCCATTTGTCTCTTTATTTGCTTTTTTAATCTCATGCTGCAAGATTGTAAACCAATGTTTTCTGGATCATTTAGCAATTATGAGCAGAAAATTAATGTTGTGTTTGTTAATTAGCATAATCCTATATGCCCCTAGCACATGGGCAACAATATTCCTCATTTTAAACTTTTAGACTTGACAGTGTTTAGCTCCTAACATTGTATTATGTATTATGACTGCCTGCAATTAATGTTCTTTTAACCTTGATAGTATTTTGTTCAGTCTCGGAAGTGTGAAATCTGACATTGTAGTTCACAGATGTATGAAACCATTTTTTTCATATATAAGCAATCCTCGAGTTACAAGCGTCTGACTTACAATGACCCATAGTTAAGAACAGGGAGAAATCTACCCCTAGGAAGACATATTCACTCCTGAAAGAGTTATCCTGGGGAAAAGGTGTCTGAACTAAAGTTTTTCAGCTAACATGGCCGTTGTCTGCTATTGCTGTTCCTGATCTTGGCTATTATTACTCCTGTCTGCTCCATCACTCCAGTGCCTGATTGATCAGATGCCCTCTTGCGGAGGCTGTTTCTTTCGGAGGCTTATTGACATCTACCATCGCTGACGGGCTCTCTATAACCATTTTGCACCTACCATTGGCTGTACCATCGTCACTGGTTGCATTGGAACCATTCTCCATTGCAGCTCCCTCAACACCCGTCATCTTTGTTTACGACTTAGAAAGACTGGTCTATGGCCTGGGCTATTTTGGGAGGGGGCCTTCACCTTGCACTTGTTTTTATATACTTCCAATCTTTGGATTCTAGAGACCTTTATTAATAAGAGTTTGGAGCTAAAGGTCACAGACCAAGAGCTGTTGCACTTTTACTGTTATTCAAACTGACATTTTAAGGCTTATATATTAATATAAGGCTTATATATTAAAATATTATAGTACTAAAACATTACTGATGTTGTGCTTAATTATATAATATATTGTATATACATATAATATTGATGATAATATAATGTAATACAATATAATGCTAATAATACAATATAAGAATTATATATTTTATATTACATGTAATATTACTAATAATATTACAGCATAGTGGTATAGTACAATATGGGAATGTATGGTACTAATATTGTGCTATGCTAACAATAGAATGTGTTGTATTTACATATGACTTCTAAGCCACTCTGAGTCCCCTTCAGGGTGGGAAGGGCAGCATATAAATATAGTAAATAAATACATAATAAATTTATTATCAATCCTTGTTTCTCTAACAAGTCATTTTTTTCAAAATCAACTTATCACAGGGACCGAAAGTGGGGTTATATCTTCTGAACAGGGGCACAGAGAAAAAAATAAACATCACAGGAGTGTTCCCTATGCTTACACTTAAAAATGTGCCTGTTCTGACTTAAAAATACATTCAAATTAAGATCAAACCTACGGAGCCTATCTTGTTTGTAACTTGGGGACTGCCTGTATTCAGTGTCAATTCAGTGTCAATTTTTACAGCTCGAGTTTTGGGCTGCCCATACAACAGCATTTTAGCTGATTTGTGTTTTTTAAAAAATAAGCTGAGGCCCAATTAATTGGATTCAACGTCAGTCTTACCTCAAATACCTAACTCAAGAGGTTCCCATCCTTTTTTTTTTTTTTTTTGACCAGGGACCACTTTGACCAGGGAACACTCATCAACAATAATACCAAAAGTGTTACAAATCAGTTTTTCATCAGCTTAAGATTTGGTTTGGTTATTTGGGGTGCTGATTCAGAAAATTGCATTGGATAGACCACATCACATAGTTTCTGATACAGAACATATGCCACCCAGTAGTCACCTGCAGAAAAACATATTTAATAAGAGCTGATGATCTTAAGAGCTCTCATGACAACATAAAACAAGATTTGACATTGTGTGCCTTCAAGTAATTTTCTGACTTAGAGCAGCCCTATCACAAAGTTTTCTAAGGTTGAGAAATCACACAAGTGGAGTCCTTCTCTCTATCTCACCATCTTCTTGGGATCATTTGATGGGGAAAGGGGACAGGGCCTTTTGGTAGCTTCTCCCAGACTTTTATCAAGACGCGAAACAACACCAGCCAAGGACCAAATGATGTCAATCCTGATCTCCAAAATGTCAGGAAACCAAGGCCAGTTAGGTGGGCATACCTGATAAGAGTTTTGAGCTGCACCAGAGACTTATTTTTCCAGAAGAATAGAACATAGCCCAAGAAGATTAATCTTTCCTAATGGCACCTCCTAGGCTGGTATTGTTTTGTGTCTTGATAAATTAATTGGGTGAAGGAGCAAACTGGGAGTGGCAGCTAATATTTTGGGAAAGTGTCAGGATGCAAGGTAAACACAACCAGCTGGAGAATTTCACAAAAATAATTCTAAAATTAATTTAAGCAGGGACAAATGTAAAGGTCTACATTTAGGCAATAAAAATGTGGGTATATCAATAAAGTATGGGAAGACCTAGGTAGAAAGCAATATAAAAGGTCTAGATGAGTAGTTTTCAATCTCTGGCTATCCATATGTTTTGGATTTCAAACTCAGAATCCCTGACTACAGGCCTGGCTGGAGTCTCTAGGAGATGATGCCCAAAACATCTGGTGGAACAGAAGTTGAAAATCCCTGATTTAATGCTCTTAGCAGTCTGCAGGCTAAACATGGACCAACAGTGTGATGCAAAGCAAAAAGGGAAAGTTAGTGCTATTCAAGGCTACATCAAAAGAGGAATGGTGGCCAAATCCAGGAAAGCGATAGTAAAACTGTTTTCCTTTTCTGATTTGATCAGGCCTCTCACAGACAGAGAATGAGGCTGAATTCCTTTGCACTCGTAGTTGGGGATAAAGTCTGGTGAGCAAAACATATACACGACTGGGTTGCATAGTATAAGTTGAGCACTTGCTGGATTAAAAACATAAAGGTTTCCCCTGGCATTAAGTCTAGTCGTATCTGACTCTGGGGGGTGGGGGGGGGGGGTTGGGTGGTGGTGCTCATCTCCATTTTTAAGCCAAAGAGCCTGCGTTGTCCGTAGACACCCCCTAGTTCATGTGGCCAGCATGACTGCATGGAGTGCCATTACCGTTCCGCAAAAGTGGTATTTATTGATCTACTCACATTTGCATGTTTTCAAACTGCTAGGTTGGCAGAAGCTGGGACTAACAGTGGGAGCTCACTCCACTCCCTGGAGTCGAACTGCCATCCTTTCAGTCAGCAAGTTCAGCAGCTCAGTGGTTTAATCTGCTGTGCCACCAGGGGGCCCCATACTGCTGGATTACATGAGCCTTAATAGCAATTACTCTTTACTGAATTGTACACATAACATTTCAAGAAAAATCTAGAATGCATTTCCCCCTATAAATAAAGATGTTGCCCAGAAACCATCACAGACTTCAGTGTAACAAGCCCATAATTTCAGTATTCATGTGATGGTTATCTGTGACTATTTCTTCAAAATGAGTAACAGTGATGAATATTAAAGACTTATAAATTTATTATAGCACATGCACTGTCACAGACTGCAGTCAATTCACAAAATACACTTTAATTTGTTTGGATCTCTGTGTCACAAGTCTTTTCTGTAACAGCTTAACAGGAAGATTTATATAGGAATTGAAATCAATGGAACTTAAAATTTTTGTCTGGGGGCTTGAGTTCTATTGTTTTTGGAAGTATTTACTTCATTAATGTTGATTGGAGTATGTCTTCTATGAACTAAATATTATTTAACGAATGGCAGTTACAAGTTACAAAGACTTTAGTTCCACTGATTTCTTGGTAGTGAATTTAGTTCTGTGTTTACAATTTGACTGGGGTTCCATTTTGTCCATGTACAATGTATATTACAAGGAACTTTATTAAACGAAATACATTCCCAAAAAGACAGTTTTAAGGCAATATAGTAAAACACTTCCCCTGGTTAAATTACACTGGTTAAGTCTTTTTAAAATAGCCAATATCCCCCCACTTCTTAAAATAAAACCTTTAAATTTCTACCATGCTAGTCCCTTTGGTGGTTTGTTCTTATTTTTTCCTTTGCAACGCTTTGCCTTAAGTCTCTTCCTCTGTCTTGGATTCATCCATATTGGATATTGCCCATGTTCATCTAGAAGAGTCTTTGAACTTCTCTGCTTATCCATGTCCATCTTACTTTCACCTGGTTAAAAAAGGAAGTTAAATAAGCTACATAAAATTTTCTATCAGTTATTTAATTCAAAACTAAAGAAAACACTACAGAAATAATGAAGGTTGAGTGTAGTTCTATTAGACTAATAGCGAGGAAAAATACATAATTGGGAAGATGGATAAGAGAGTATGCAGATATTTCTATTAAGAAACAATGGCAACTTTCATTCCAATTGGGAAAGAGTGAAGAGTAATAGTGTTATAATATGTTATTGTAGAAACAGGAAACTATGGATAACATGAAATGCATTTATATACCAGTAACAAAGGATATATTTTTATAGTTGAGCTATTGGAAGACTTGCAAAGCAGATAGAAATATAAGGAAAACCAACAATGGAAATATTTTCATACTGTATACATAACATAAATCTCACAAACCTACTTCCAATTTTTTTGCCTATGTTTACAGCACTCAAGTGAAAAAATTTATCACAGTCCAACTCACCTTCTGAATCCTTTTTCTCTGTGACTTTCTCTGCAGGAACAACAGTTACAATATCTTTCACTTCATCCATTACAGCATCTGTGTCTGTTTTCAGGATGCTCTGCAACCTGGCAAGTTCCTTGGGGACATTTTTCTTTCTCTTCTCTGCTCGCATCTTCCGCTTCCATTTGCTTCTCAAGCTTTTCGCCATAGTTGTTTGCTTCTGTATATAGGAAATGAGCAAAATACGTAACATCTACAAGACTGAACAAACACCTAAATTTGCATGTGCACATGCCCACATATTTGGAACCCACAACTGATCAACAATTTATTAATTGATTAATAACACTTCAAAGGAGATGGGAACCTGAAATGGTTGAATTACAACTCCTTGGTCACGGTCCATACCAATCAATTATAGGAGTTGGAGTGCAACTATTTATTTTTAACAGTTCCATGTTTAATCGTATTTTAGAGTTGGTATGCATTCAGGTTTTAAATTGTATATTGTATTGTTTTAGTGTTGTAAACCACTTCAGGTTTCTTTTTTGAGAGAAAAAGCTGCACATATAATAGCCATTTCTTGCACTTGCCACATCCCCACCTTACTTCCAGTGTACCATATGACACCCATGGGACTGGTACCTGAGGTTTTACCTACCTGCACCCTTTGAATGCAATTTTAATGATATTTCTTGCATTTTAACTTTGCATCTGCTCACAAATGTTCAATTGTTTTTTATCCATTTTATTTGATATTGTTATTAAGCATGTTATATGACTGCCAACTGCAGAGTCCCTATGGAAAGAAAGGCAGGGCAGAAATAGGGTTAATAATAATGACTGTATTCTTTATTTGAACTGGCCAAGGTCCCTTCTGAACCTTGTGAATTGAGGTTCATGTTTTTATGCTGATATAAGTTAAATGTAATTTAATTTAATGTTGTATTTTATAATTTGGTCATACGTATGAGTTTATTTTGGTATACGTTGGTGTATTTTGGGTTCTAGTAGGTTTATTATTGTATTTGTATTTATTGTTGTTTCAGGCATTGATACTATTATTAATAATTATATCATTATTATTCTACACTACCATACAAAATCCAGATGATCTGCTTTGAACTGGATTATATGGCAGTGTAACCTACTATAAAGTAGATAGATGTGGTGGCACAATGGGTTCCCCACGTGGGGAGAGAAGCCTCCCACAAAAATGGTAAAACATCAAACATTCAGGCGTTCCCTGGCAACGTCCTTGCAGATGGCCAATTCTCTCACACCAGAAGCGACTTGCAGTTTCTCAAGTCACTCCTGACACAGGAAAAAAAATCTGGATTATATAGCAGCATAGATCCAGCCTATGTCTCTATAGATCTTCTGATTCCTGTTTTGCCTGCCTGCATGCTTATGTGTTTTCAAGCCACTGGCAAAACCACCTAAGAAATCTCTAGGAAACTCATGGTATTGTCATAAATCAGGTAACTTAAAAGCATATGTATGTATGTATTTACTAGGTCCTTTGAGATAGGATCTAGGATGCGCTATCTCCCAGGAGCTGATCCCAGATTGTCTTCTTAGAACTGGATTATATGAGTCTACGCTACCAGATAATCTGGGATAAAAAGATAATCTGGCATCAGTTCTTGGGATCTAGGGCAGTGTAGATCCAGAGTGAAGCATATGATAGAACTAGCCGTCCCTTGCCACACGTTGCTGTGGCCCAGTCTGGTGATCTGGAAAATAAAGTAACGAGAAAGGGTTTTTTCCCCCTAATATATATAATTTCTTTATGCTTGTGGGTAAACAGGATTTGATTACGTTTTCTTGCTCTGATGAAGGAAGTTGGACTGGATGGCCTTAAGTATTTTCTATTGGTCATAGGGGTTCTGTGTGGGAAGTTTGGCCCAATTCTATAATTTGTGGGGTTCAGAATGCTCTTTGATTGTTGGTGAACTATAAATCCCAGTAACTACAACTCCCAAATGTCAAGTCTATTTCCTCCAAGCTCCATCTGTGTTCCTAGTTGGGCATATGGAATATTCATTGAATCAAAGAGTTGGAAGAGACCTCATGGGCCATCCAATCCACCCCCCCTGCCAAGAAGCAGGAATATTGCATTCAAATCACCCCTGACAGATGGCCATCCAGCCTGTTTAAAAGCTTCCAAAGAAGGAGCCTCCACCACACTCCGGGGAAGAGAGTTCCACTGCTTAACGGCTCTCACAGGAAGTTCTTCCTCATGTTCAGATGGAATCTCCTTTCTTGTAGTTTGAAGCCATTGTCCTAGTCTCCAGGGAAACAGAAAACAAGCTTGCTCCCTCCTCCCTGTGGCTTCCTCTCACATATTTATACATGGCTATCATATCTCCTCTCAGCCTTCTCTTCTTCAGGTTAAACATGCCCAGCTCCTTAAGCCACTCCTCATAGGGCTTGTTCTCCAGACCCTTGATCATTTTAGTTGCCCTCCTCTGGAAACATTCCAGCTTGTCAATATCTCTCTTGAATTGTGGTGCCCAGAATTGGACACAATATTCCAGGTGTGGTCTAACCAAAGTGGGATGAGGGGTAGCATTACTTCCCTAGATCATTCTAGACACTATGCTCCTATTGATGCAGGCCAAAATCCCATTGGCTTTTTTTGCTGCCACATCACATTGTTGGCTCATGTTTAACTAGTTGTCCACGAGGACTCCAAGATCTTTTTCACACGTACTGCTCTTGAGCCAGGCAAGTGGAGTATCTTACATTTGTCACTGTGCCAAATTTGGTGCAGATCCATCACTGTTTGAGTACCACAGTGCTCTCTAGATGTAGGTGTACTACAACTCCCAAACTTAAGGTCAATGCCCACCAAACCCTTCCAGTATTTTCTGTTGGCCATGGGGGGGCTTGTGTGCCACGTTTGGTTCAATTCCATCATTGGTGGAGTTCAGAATGCTCCTTGATTGTAGGTGAACTATAAACCCCAGAAGCTACAACACCCAAATGACAAACTCAATTTTTTTGAGTGATGCTCACTCATTGGGTTTGTAGGTGTATTGTGTCAAAATTTGGTGTCAATTCGTCCAGTGGTTTTTTAGTTATATTAATTCCACAAACGAACATTGCATTTTTATTTATATAGAAGATTGCCCAGAGAAGGGGCCTAAGAATATGCCAATCAAGACATTAAGAAGTCTCCTTTTGCCTCTCATCTCAAAATAGAAGAAAAGAAAAGCTCTTCATTAGTCCACAATGCCTTCCTTGTTGCGGAACTATTCCTTACTAGGAGAGTAGTCTACCAATGAATACGAGGCACTTTATTTCAGAGGAAAGAACTAGCCAAGCCCTCTCCCTTCATGGGTATTCCTTGCCTAAGAAAACCCCATGGAATCCACGCCATGGTCGCCATAAGCCAACAGAAAAGACTTTTACCTCGGGCTCCTTCGCTGCTGTTGCCGAACTCTGCCACGCCGGAAGACTCAACTTGCAGGCACGCCGCTCACAGGACCACTTCCGGAGCTGCGCAGAAGCCCACAGCCAAGGACGCTTCCGGAAGGCTCTCATGATCCAACACCGCCCCCTGGCGCCTGCCTCCGGTACTATCGGTAGATCACTTCTGTGAGTTCACACCCCTTGATGCTTTCAAAAGATCAGTTTGCTACTTAAATGGAGATTTTGACCTTGTTTGAACGCCTCCGAAAGCAGTTTTTCGAAACAGGTGACCTGAAAGCTATAACCAAAAGTAAAAGCAACTGTATCTTGTGACAGTTTCCTCACTATCTAGATCCCTCTTACTGCTTCTATGGATAAGGATAGATGTAGGGCCAGTGATAGCAAGAAGCAATATCTGAACACAGGCAGGCAGGCAGAAAGAAAAAAAGAAAGAAAGGAAAAGTGTTAACTTCATTTTCCTATTCTTTAAATTACTGTAGGTAAAGGTAACGGTTTCCCCCTGACATTGAGTCCAGTTGTGTCTGACTCTGGGGGTAAGTGCTCATCTCCATTTCTAAGCCAAAGAGCCGGCGTTGTCTGTAGACACCTCCAAGGTCATGTGGCCAGCATGACTGCATGGAGTGCCGTTACCTTCCCGCTGGAGCAGTACCTATTGATCTACTTACATTTGCATGTTTTCGAACTGCTAGGTTGACAGAAGCTGGGGCTGACAGTAGAAGCTCATACCACTCCCCGGATTTGAACCTGCAACAAGTTTAGCAGCTCAGTGGTTTAATCCACTGCGCCATGAGGGCTCCTTTAAGTCACTATCATAAGTCATTACTTATAGAGAAAACTGTGAATGTTTCAGGTTAGCATGTACATTAAAAGACATATATCAAGTGGCAGCTTGTTGTGATAGTGTTGCATGAAACTCCCCTGAGCAAAATTATTATTTGTACCTTTTGTGCCTGCAGCCGAGAGTTCCAAAGGCTGCAGACACTTAAAGTGTACTTGTTTGACTCTGCGCATGTTCAGACAACCAGGAAACTAACTACAGACTGCTTATGATCCCTTAATAAATTGGTTACCCTGAACTCTGTGCTTCTCTTGCCCTTTCCTTGCTGTAATGTACCTTTTGCAGCCATCATGTATTTTTCCTCTTTTCTTTCCAGATAGCTGGTTCCCCCATTAGAAAGCCTCTGATAGTTTAAGCTCTCTCTGCTCATTATATTTCTCTCCTGCCACCCTCCCTGTCTCAGAGCAAACTCTCTGGTCTCTTCTGGGGCCTAACTCAACCCAGGGATTCTGAAGACTATGTTTTCCAGGCCTGAGAAAACTATGTCTCCCAGGACTGCTGTTAAAAAGAACTCTTTACCTGCTGAATAATCATGTTCTAAAATTGTTTTCCTTATCTGTTCCCATCCATGCAATATGTAACCTTCCTGCTTGCTCTTTTGTTCCAAAATCCCCCTAAAAGCCCATTCTGCATGCTTCCCTTTCCCCAGTATGGAATTGTATTATTTCTATGTATTTTCCCTTCCTCATGCCTCGATCTGCATACAAGGGAGCCTGGCTTGGATATCTGTATGTACTTGGGAAAAATATCTCTCATGGGCATGAAAAATGCCTTAAAAATTCCCTGCCTTTTCCTATGCGTTCCTATGTTTTGTTAATAATATATTTTGTGCTTCTGAGATTTCCTGTTCCTTTACCTGGATGGGAAAGTTCTGCATCTCATATGATCAGATAGCGTGCGAGAAGAGACTCCAAGCTGGGAATTTCCTCAATCAATTCCCGGCCTCACCCATCTTATGGACATTATCTGGACATATGTAACACAATAGCCCAACGGACAGGACAAGATGGCCCATTGCTTTTTCCTGCCTGCCTCAGGGCAAGTAGCTACTCTTCACAATGCGCCTTTGTGTGTGGGACCTCTCATCATGGAAGGAATTATAATTGTCTTTTTCCTAAGCCCCTCTCCTCTGCCATTTGCATGATTGTGCCAATATGTCCTGTTTTGAACCATGATCCAGAACTGCTGGTTCAGCCCCCCACTGATGGGGCACTGCCATGACCATCCTGCACACAAACTTTTCCTGGGTAGGGCTAAGTGCCCTCAATCATTTTTATTATTTTTCCTGTTGAATAAAGGGAAACCCATTCACTGCCACTCAATGCCCTTTCTCTTCAACTGCTCAGCAAAGCCCCCTTTCTGTGATTGGTCAGAATTGGGAGACTTGTCCAATGAGCTTTGCTACAGCTGATGTTGCTGCAGTGGGAAATTTGAAATTATTGTGTATATAAAAGGAGACTGTATCCATATTTGCTATTCTAGCTTCTTTGTGAATGTATCAAAAGCTAGGATCTTATCTGCAGATAATAAAATTTTACTTAGCTGAAATCACCTTCTCACCTTGCTGCTGGATGATTTTAATTGGGGTTGATCTGTATGCTTGCCACAGCAGGGACCCACAGAAAAGGGGCAGCTCAGACTTATCACTTGTCTGAGTTTCTGCCAACAGGCTTCTTCCCGGTCTCACTTCCAGGAGTTGCCTCCTAAATTGGGGCCAACAATAGAAGCTTTCCTAGACTGCAAGGTATTTCTGCACACGCATTTACTTACATTTTAAAGTGACAGTTTAAACAGGTACACTTCAGTTAACAAACTAGATGTGCTCTTGGACATTATGTTTTTAACTGAAAAGTTGGGAGTAGGGTAGAAAAAAATGCATACAAAGACTAGGGATATCACATACACATACACAAAAAGTTCTCTGTGTTTCAGCAAACCCTTTATTCCAAATTTAATTGTTAATTCACAATTAAACAACCAGGTTAAGCAAGCCCTGCAAGTATAACAGAAAATGTCCAGCTTCCTAAAGATTATTCGAAAGCTTCTTTGAAAATGGATGCAGAGATCGTTTTTAATTTCACTGCCACTTTTATGATTTCTAGTTTAGTGACTGAACTTATTAATCTACACTTTTCAAAAACATTATTGGGGAGCTAGTCAGACAGGCTTATCAGTTCTGATCTTTTCTCCCAGGATGCTACGCTGTAGAATTAATCCAATTTTGATATCACTTTAGCAGCCATGACTAAATGCTATGGAATCCTGGGAATTTTAGTTTGGCGAGGCACCAACTCTCTTTAGAATAGAAGGCTAAAGACTTTGTAAAACTACAACTCCTATGATTCCACAACACTGAGCAGTTAAAGTGGTATCAAACGGCTTCAAGTCTCCAGTGCAGATGCAGCCTCGCTTTTGGATCTTGCATTGACCCAGTAAGCAATTTTAGACACAACTGCAATTTACCTTGCCAATTCGAGGCTAGTACAAACAGTGAGAGCAAGTAAAGTAGAATCCCATTTTTCCCACTTCAGTTCTTCTTATACTGTTTACTGCAAGCACAACCAAACACTACCAATCTGTTTCTTTCTCCTTCCTTGACCATCTCTTCCCAATGCAGAAGGCGATTTCAAAAATTTCCTGTTGAACAAGGAATAAGAGGAATATGTGTGGGCTGGGCACTCATTAAATGATTTTTATAAAATGGGTTTCTTTCTCAAAGTCTGTTAATTCAGGTATGTCTGTATATAGATTGAGTCCCATTTAGGTATCTAAATGGCAGGATGCACTTTTCCATCCGCTTCTCCCCACCTTAGTGAGCCAGCTTCCTGAAAATGCCATGAAGAGGCATCTGCGAGCAAAGCTCTTCAGTCCAGCTATGCGGCCCATTACACACATATCGATTCAGTCATCTGGACTTAAAATCAGTATATTAATATGCAAACACATGTGAGTATGAAATAATGAGTAATAGTGAGGCTAGAACATATTGAAATTAGAGCTATAAATGGGGCTGTTTCTATGCAAAATTTCAATATCAACATTGAGACCACTGCAGCTGCAGCGCGTTAGAAAGAATAGTCCTAATTGACTGATTTTATTCATTTATATCTCACCAGAGATTTCAAGACCGTGTCATGGCTTGAGTCGCCTTCGGGCTTAAGAAAGGTGGGATAGAAATATCATAAATAAATAAATAAATGTGTGTCACCTGAACATAACGAGAAACCTGAGTCTATGTGAAATAAGCAATAAATTCCACATCTGTAGTGAGAGACGAAATCTTTGTCAATTGGATTCTAAAAAAAATAATCAAAATTATTAATACATTATAATATAGTCATCTCTTGAAGGTGTTTTGCTATAGGAAAGTAACTTTCAGGTCATCAGTGGAGTGAGGGATTTCGCCAACTTTTAAATATTGATATTTCTGATTATACATTTGAGCACATTTGTTCTTGTGCATGGATACTTACCGATATTTACCCCTTTACGGACAGACCAAGGTGTATTCTTGGTAGAAAATCTTTGACAGTTGCCTTCCTGCAGGTCCTAGCTCCTATATTTTGTTTTGTGTGAAACAGCTATCCATCTGGATAGTCTTGCCAAGTGTTGAGCATTCAACAACTCCTATAAAAACTGTTTAGCATATCAAGTCCATCACATCACAATGAAGAAGACTGCTTGAAGATTACCACTAAGAGATCCACTGACTTTTGTGTTGTTCCCATCAATTAACTTCTTGTTCAATTTGCCAGTAGTACACACGAATCTACCTAATATCTGTGTCCCAGTAACTCACGTATGATTCTATATTGCTATCTATTGAAGTATATGAGGTAAGGCTGACTAAGGACTCCCTTAATGAAATCTTGAGGACATAATCTGAATTGGGTCCCAACTCATTGTTTTTAAAACATATTGGCTAAAATGCTGTTGCATGGGCAGCCCAAAACTTAAGACATAAAAATGAAACAACTGACACTGAGCATGTCAAAAAATGTTTTCAAACATCTATGAGCTACATTGTCAGGTTCACACTCCTGAGACTGAAGAAAATGCTATCAAGGTTAAAAGAATATTAATTGAAGGCAGTTTTAGGAACTAAACACTGTCAAGTCTAGAAGTTTAAAATGAAGAATATTGTCGCCCATGTGGTGGGGGCATATAGGATTGTGCTAATTGTCAAACACAACATTAATTTTCTACTCATAATTACTTAATGATCCAGAAAACATTGGTTTACAATCTTGCAGCATGAGACAAAAAAGCAAATAAAGAGACAAATGGCTTGCATAATCATCATTTCATAAATTTTATTTTGTAACTTCCAAATATCATCCTAATGGAAGAGCAGATGGAATGTAATTGAGTCCTTTCCCCTGCCAGCACTCTGTACTACATGACCAAAGCAAACACCACTCAATAAATATTACTCTATACGGCACAGAATTATTTCACCCCCTACTGAATATCAATCAAAAAAGCTTTCAAAGGAAACTAAAGTGGAGTTCAAATCTCAGCATTCCAAAAGAACCATAAGAAACTATTTGATATGAATAGATATATATTTTAAGTTTCATAAAGTTCACAAAATTGGAATAAAGAACCCAAAGCAGTCCATTGCTGCAGGGAGTACTCAACACTAGATCCTGGTGCTTCAGATAGACCCAAATTCATTAAAAAGCAGGTATCTACTTAGAAAATCAAAACATTTCTTCCCCAAAATGCCAAAGGTTGTATGAAGGTTAAGCATTCCAAAACACAAACTATCTGGAAATGCAATCCTTTCCTCTACCTATAGGAAGATTAAAAGTTTTAGAAGAATTGTTGGAATATTCCTTCAAATCAAACTGCTTAGATTGCAAGGGCTTCACAAATGACCGCCACAAACGTTCACAGCTATTTAAAACTTCAATGCTGAATGGTGAAATTAAAGACTGAGTTTTATGCTATCCAACCAGTGACAATTGTTGATCTCAAAGGACACATCTGTGGCAATTACTGCCAAAATAAAAGAGAATTTTAATAGTGCTTATTGGTACAATTGGAAGTTGATGAGCAAGTCTTTCAGTCAATAATAATATGCGAACGGATGGAAGGAAACCTTTAGCAAACAGCCAAGATGACTGCAATGTGTAATTAGCTGATCTCAGAATAGTATCATAAGCACCAACTCTCTAGAACATCCTTTATACAGAAAACATTGAAGCCACCATGGAATGCAAAGACAAGCTTTCAATCTCAAAGAACGCAACAGCTTTTCTAGCTCTTAATTAACACTTCAGCTGCTGCACCCAGGTTCACAAGTCTCAACAACTTCCAATTACTTTTTATTAAAGGCTTCTAACAAACGTAGCAGGTGCAGAAACAGATTGATGATGTCCAAATAGAGGTTGATTGCCGCCAGTATGTATTCTTCAGGGGAGAGTTTGTGCATTAGCAGATGAGTGTCATAGATGATAAAGCCACAGAACACAAGAGCTCCTGCAGCAGCAAATACTACCTCGACGACTTCACTGTAGAAGAAAAACTGTAGCAAAAGAATACACAGAAAGATATTAAGTGTAATTTCATAAGAGCGCCTCAAAATCAGATACATCAATAATGAAATTATACTTAAATGTTTTATTTGTTTACAGAAAGTTATGTATGCACAGCAAGACACAATTTTCTTGATTGCACATCTAGACAATTCCTGAAACTCAAATTTTCCTCTGCTTTGAAGACCCGTCACATTCTCCTAGATGTTGAGCTTTTTTCTCAAAAGTGACATGTCTGAATTCACTTCAAAACAGACACAATTCTCATATCCCAGCTGCAAGTTTTACAATGCATTTCTTAACATATGGCAGGTATTCTTGTTCCAAAGAAGAATATAAATTGTGCTCTTACATCCTGCTTGTATACAGAGAGATGGGTACCAGGAGATCTTGGTGGAGTTGCTATAGTCACAATGACAAACCACGATTAAAGAAACCTTAAATATAGTTTGGTGCAGTGGTTCCCAACCTTTGGGTCTCCAGGTGTTTTGGAGATCAGCTCCCACAGTTCCTAACAGCTGGTAAGCTGGCTAGGATTTCTGGGAGTTGAAGTCCAAAACACCTGGAGGCCCAAAGGTTTGGAACCACTGATCTGGTGTGATGACTTAACTGGCAAAATAGAACATGATTTGAAACAGATTGAAAAACATTGCTCAACATAGTGCCTGAATAGAGTAAAAACCAAGGCTGGGTTGCTGCGAGTTTTTTGGACTGTATGGCAATTTTTCAGCAGCATTCTTTCCTAACATATCATCTGTATATGTGGCTAGCAGTAATTCCGGCCGTGAAGCCTTCTGCAGGTACAAAGCCTGCTAAAAGTAAACTATAGTTCAAATCAATCTAAACTATAACAATGCAATTAAATTTGCTAATACTTTCAACATCACTGCTTTTTTCATTAAACAATAGTAACTTATCTTTCACCATGTAGGATTTTTGAATAGCAATAAAAATTACAGAAAAAAATCTAATCCAGGATTTTTTTTTCATTTTGGTTTAGTTGTTACATTTAAAGATATGTTCAGCACGCTTTGCAGCATTAGTCAGGAGGACAACAACTTACCTTTAGAAAACTTGCCAAGACAAGTATCCATAAGCAAGCAAATAACCTGTGAATATAAATTAGTGGATTGATTTTATTTTCAGAAAGGGCTTTCATGTTAGACTGGGATAGCAATCCCATAAACTTTCAGATTTTGTTACACTGCAATTCCCAGAATTCTGCAGGGATCTGTAATCCAGAAACTTCTAGATGATCCCTACTGTTTTCATATACAAATATACCCCTCAGAATGTAGGATGCATAATAGTCTATACATATGTATTCATTTATTATTATAAGATGTATATTCCTTGTTCGATACAGTTACTTCACCTGCTATTTAGTAATAAGAAATAAGAAATGCCACAAATTTCTGCTCCGCACCAATTATATTGCCCATACGCGAGCAGTATGGCCACCCAAAGGGTTTCACAAAATAAGCCTTCACAGTAACAATTACAGCAATGACATTATTATCTATTCCTGTGTGACATTAATTAACTTTTAAAGGTCGGTTATAGAAACCCATCAATATGTTCCTATAAGTCATGAAAAAGAGGAACCCAAAAATCACTTACCCAGCTCCAGCTTTACTGAAGTCCCTTTTGGACTGCAAAGTATATGCAGTGAGAGCCAGAAATACACCAGTAGTCAGAATAAATGCTTGAAGAACAACTGATACTTCATAGAAAGTCACTACAGAAGACAACAAGCAAATGATGATTCTTAAAACTACATATCACAGAAAAGGTATCATTATTTTGTTATTTTCAATTAATGCAACCATGATGCTCATAAGCAGAATTGGTATTTGAGAGTTACATCTGATTTACATTGAAAACTATGCACATCTGCATAGAATCATAAGGTTGGAAGAGACTCCAAGATTCATCCAGTCTAACCCCCCGCTATCTAGGAACACACAATCAAAACCATTTCCAACAGATGACCAACCAACTTTTGCTTAAAATCTTTAAGAAAAGAAGACTCCCCCACACTCTGAGAAAGCGTATTCCACCTATGAATCCCTCTTCCCATTAGAAAGTTTTTCCTAATGCTTAGATAGAATCCCTTTTCCTGTAGTTTGAACCCACTATTCTGTGTCTTAGCCGCTTCCACACTGCCCCTATATCCCAGGATCTGATCCCAGATTATCTGTTTATCTCAGGTTATATGGCAGTAGGGACTAACATAATCCAGTTTAAAGCAGATAATCTGGGATGAAATCCTGGGATATAGGGTAGTGTGGAAGGGGCCTTAATCTCCAGAGAAGCAGAACACAAGTTTGATGTCTCCTGAATATGACATCCTTTTAAATATTTAAACATGGCTATCATGTCCCATCTGAACATTTACTTCTCCATGTTAAACATACCCAGCTCTTCAAAGGGCTTGGTCTGCAGACTTTTGACCATTTTGGTTGCCCTTCTCTGCACACATTCCAACTTGTCAATATCCTTATTGCGTTGTGATACCCAGAACTGGAAACAGCATTCCAGGTGAGGTCTAACCAAGGGAGAATAGTGGCACTAATACCGCCTTCACTCTAGACACTATACTCTTGTTGTTGTTGCCTAGAATTGTATTAGCTTTTAAGCTGCCACATCGCACTGTTGACTCATGGTCAATAAGATGCCTACAAAACCAGTGATATTTCAGGAAATAAATGAAAGAGCCATGCACAAACATTATTATTATTCAGGGAGTGATGCTGTTCTATTTATATTTCAAAATGGGGTAGAGGAGGGAATGAATCAGAACTCCAAGCACTCTGTGTTTGTCTAATGCCCTTGATCATTTTGGCAAGAGGCTAGAACATGTCTAAATTAGCATTTGTAGCACACTTCTCTTTTGCTGAATGAAGTTCAAGTAGGATCCTTCACCAGGGCTCCTTGGCAGAATGACAAAGGGGCAAGAAGGGGCGGATACATCATTTTTCATAATTCAGTAATCAACAGCAATAAATCGCACAACCTCTCACCACTGAATATGCTGGTAAGGGCTTATAGGAGCTTAAGGGCAAAAACTTCAGGACAAATTCTATCTGGCAATTAGAAACCAAAAAAAGATGTTCCTTCCTTCCTGTATAATTAGAAATAAGTAAGGTTGAATATTTACCTGTAATAGCAACAGTCAGGGCTTCCAAAATGGTCTACGAGGGGGGAAAAAAGAAAAGCAAATATCATCTAAAAGTCACACCACAACAGCATCACTCAGCTATTGTCCCCCCTAGGGGGTTGAGAAGGTAAAAATACCCGAAATAAATAAATAAATATTGTGCTGTGAAGAGCCCTGATATTTTCAGAACTTAAATTAATCACTGGCATGTAAGTGTCTATGATTCAATGGATCTACGCTACCTGGGACTAACAATCAGATTCAGTCCAAAGTATATTCTCCCTGAAATGCATGTCAGAAGACTACATAGGAGGAAATTTAGCGTACAAAAGACAGAACACATTTCAGATAGACAGGTGTTAAAAGGCTCCTTGAAGAACAAAGAAACAAAAGGATTTAGATGAAGGGTACAACCCCACTAGAATACCTATATGACTACATTTAAAATTTGCACAAAATCTAAACATAAATTATACAAATACTTACAAATCCAAATAGGAGATATAAATTAACTGGATGCTGATGTCTGTACAGTGTAAGTGCCACAACCACAACCAAAGAACCAAGCAAGGATAACAGGAGCAAAGCAGGGCTGTAGGATTTAATAGTGAACAAAGACAACATTAGAGAGTAAAACAGTTTATCAAATAATGACATGAATATCTAAAATGCTTAAATATGTCTTTACAGAAGAAGATGTAGAAATGTGTGCTAGTTATCCTCTTAAACATTGTTGGTGCAGATCATTGCTTTCTCTATCCCAAGTATATTTATCTTGAAAGCAAAAACCACACTCTTCTGCCTTTATCAACATCCTGAAACAAACACCAAGTCAGTTTGGAATTTCACAACCCTTTCTCTCTATCAGGAAAAGATCCAGGCTTCTATTACAGAAAGGAAAAAAAGAAAGAATGGAAGGGAGGGAGGGAGAGAAGAAAACCAATGGAACAGCAGAAGCAAAATCCCTAGATCTACATCACAGTTTTATATGGTATTAAATGCTAGTGAGCAATATGTACTAATAGACTACCTCTAGTAGAGTCTACTGGAAAACAGAAAGTTTGTTCATTTCTCCCTTCAATCTTATCTTTGTGCACCACAAAGGCAATTCAGGGGAAGGAGGAGAAAAGAGATGGTGCAAAGAACTACAGACAGGAGACTTTCCCATTCTGCTGAAATGGAAGCAACAGCACAACACTGAATTTCAGTCATCCTGTCCATATAAATACGGACAGGATGACCAAAATCTAATTTAATAAATAAATATATAAATACATATAATTATTATATTAATAAATATATAAAGAAATATAATTCAATTTTTGAAACAAATTCTATTTCAAAAGGGAAGACAAGTGCCGTGCAAGTAAATTTTCCAAGGACTTTACCTTTCATGTACAAAAGTTCGAACAGTACTGGAGTACAGAAAAATTGCAGAGGTCACCGTAGTCAAGAAAATTTGAACTGAAAGTATGCTGTACACTTTGCGCAGGAAAGCTAAGACACAGGAAACAAAGCATATTCATTTAGTTTAGCCATTATTTAGCTAAAGTTCCTTTTAAGTGATTTACAATGACAAAATAATCCATATTTTGAGTTTAATAGAGAAATGAACTAGCAAGGAAGCACATGTCAAACGTGAAAGAAAATAATTTTAATAGTATCCATGACAATTAAAAACTGGTTATTACAGGTTAACTCTGACCTTGTTTAGCACTGACAAAGTTATGCATCAGAGAAGCTACATGACTAGCTCAACTCATTATTTCTCTGCTCAATTAGATCAGTACTTCATGAATAGAACTTAGGAGAACACATTTGTCACAAGAGTTTACTATTATCATGTTAACAGCTGACTAGTAAATGGTTATGGATGACGATATATGACTCTTCCAGCAGCTTATGTCTGCTGTTGGTTAACTGCAAATCCCAGCATTTCTCACTACTGAATATGTTGACTAGGGTTGCTGGGAACTACAGTCCAAATCTGGAGACTCCATCTCAACTTAGACACCTGCAATGGATGAATTAGTTAATTCGGATAATGAAAAAAATAATAACTCCTAAATCTGCTATTGGTTCAAAGGCTCTTTGGGCCAGTGTAAGAACTTCTTAATGGGTGTTGTCATTTTTACTAATCCTATATTACTGTGCCTTTACCAGAATATAAAAACACAGGTACAGCATTCCTACCTTCTTTGAACAATTTAATTGCTTTAGCTATTTATTCTGTATAGTTGAGGCAACGCTTAAAGAGTATTTTAGCATTGTATTTTTGCATTAATAGGAAGACTTCCAAGATCTGACCATTTCAATTCCCTGAAAAAGCAATGATGGCAATGATCACTGCTAGCTTACTTAAAATATTATTTGTCAGATTATTGCAAATGAGGAAGGTATACAAAGAAAACATAACTTGACATGGTAGGAACCCAGGTTTCGTGGGGTCAGGGCATAATTACAAGATAGATAAGAACCACAACCAAATAAATTTCTTTTTTTAAAAAAACCAACAATGCTCACTAACATAGTTTGTATAACAGCCCCAAATTTAATCTTGGCAGCCTTTTTCTGGTACGGTACCTTTGCTTTAAGCATTACACAGCAAGAAACAAGTTCAGTTTCTTCTTTCACTATCTCATTTCTGCATGTTTAATTTATGTAGCAAATAGTAATAGTAAAAGCAAAACCAAAAGTATTTAAGGCAAAGCAAACAATTAAATTGTGACATTTAACAACTCATTCCCAAACTGGATTAAAGAGGCAGTGGTAGTCTGTTCAAAGGAGGGTATATTGGGCTGGGGGATTCGGTTTCTTTGCATGTAAAGGAAAAGTAAGGGCACACATATAAAGGCAGCATACAGGGGTATACTGCTGGTCTCTGTTCTGACGTTTCATAGCTCCTCGGCCCATTTCCAACATCCATACCATGAGAAATAAAACTGGCTTCCATTTCACACAGAAAGCCTGGACTCTTTCACACCACAAAACTATAGCACTAGGATTATACTTTTAACAGCCATACTTCTATCCTATGGACTCTAGGATCTGTAGTTTAACAAGGCAATAATTCTCTGCTGCTTAAACTGTCAGATGACTGACACAATCGGTTGCTATGAATTATCTGTATATTCCATCTAATCATTCTATTCTCTATTTCCATTTTACTAGCATATGGTGGCCCAACAACAACAACAAATTCTTGGTGTTCTGGGGTTATTTGGGGCACCAGTTCAGAAAATTACATAGTTATCATGATTTCCATTGGCGAGCAGATAATTTGTATCTGGCATATGTTCTGTCTCAAAAACTAGAGCTGACAGAAGTAATCTGATGCCATTTTTGAAATCAGCAGGTCAAATATATCCAGAAACAGTGCTAACATTTGAGGCACCAAAATGTGTGTTGGCCAATGCTATCAACATCATCCCTTCACCTGTGGATCTTTTTCAAGTTCTGGAATACTTGTATTTACAAAACAAAGTTTCAAAAACATTGAGAAGTGCTCGTCCAAAGAGAAAGGTCAAATTTGTAACAAAAGCTAAAGGTAGATCTACATTGTAGAATTAATGCAGTTTGACACTTAAACTTCTATGCCTCAAATAACTACTTATGTGGGGCTGATCAGGGTAAAGTGTAGGGGTGATACAGAAATGTGATGTATATGTTCGGTTTTATCATATTTATTTACTGTATTGTTATAAGTCTTTTAGTTATCTTACTATATAGAATGTAATCAAGTTTTATCAAGCATTTTTCTTTGGTTTGGTATTTTGATATGGCCAAGGGCTAATCAATAAAATTTACTACTTTATTTATTTATTTACGACATTTATATGCCTCCCTTCTCATCCCGAAGGGGACTCAGAGCGGCTTACAAGTAAAAAGTAAATACAATACATTATATTATTATCATAGCACATAGCACAATATTAATATTATATATTACATTGTACTGTAACATTATACTGTAATATTAGTAACATTACATTTAATATAAACTATATAATTATAATATCATATTATTAGTAGTATATTGTATTACATTATAATATTATCAATATTATATGTATATACAATATATTATATCATATTACTAGCTATTCCCTGCCACGCGTTGCTGTGGCCCACACAGGGGTTCTGTGTGGGAGGTTTGGCCCATTTCTATCGTTGGTGGGGTTCAGAATGCTCTGTGATTGTAGGTAAACTATAAATCCCAGCAACTACAACTCCAAAATGTCAAGATTCTATTTTCCCCAAACACCAGTGTTCACATTTGGGCATATTGAGTATTCATGTAGAGTTTGGTCCAGATCCATCATTGTTTGAGTCCACACTGATCTCTGGATGTAGGTAAACTACAACTCCCAAACTCAAGGTCAATGCCCACCAAACCCTTCCAGTATGTTCTGTTGGTCGTGGGAGTTCTGTGTGCCAAGTTTGGTTCGATTCCATTGTTGGTGGGGTTCAGAATGCTCTTTGATTGTAGGTGAACTATAAATCCCAGCAACTACAACTCCCAAATGACAAAATCATTTTTTTTTTAGTGAAGGACATACATTGGGTTGTTAGGTGTCTTGTGTCCAAATTTGGTGTCAATTCGTCCTGTGGTTTTTTGAGTTCTGTTAATCCCACCAACGAACATTACATTTTTACTTATATATAAGCACAGTTCAGGAGACAAGATGAAACTGCCTTCATGGCCCCTCTCTTCATTCTGATCTCAGAGCAGCGGTTGGTATCAATGATATAGAATCATAGGAATTGTAGTTTGGGGAGGCACCCGCATTCTGTGACAGGGAAGGCTAAAGGCTTTGTAAAACGTATCCCATGATTCCATATCATTGAGTCATGACAGTTCAAATGAGGTCAAGCTGCATTTATTCTACAGTATAGCTTCACCCTAAGTGGCAAAACGATGTGTACTTGATTTACTCACTACAGTTGGATATACAAGTTGAGTCTTCCTCATCTGAAACATTTGGGAACAGAAGAGTTATGTATTTAAGATTTTGGAATACAGCTGGCCCTCCACGTTTATGGGTTTGGCTTTTGTAGTCCCCAGTTGTTTTGGCCTACAATTCCCAGAAATGCCAACCAGTATACCAGTTGTTAGGATTTCTGAGAGTTGAAGGCCAAAACATCTGGGGACCTACAGATTGAGAACCACTGCTCTAGGTTTGCCAGTATGATTTTATGATCAACATCCACCAAAAGCTAACCACTGTGTGATGCTGGGCAGATCTAGATATTTCTATAGAAAAAAAAACTTCTCTGGAAATCTCTAGGTAAATCAGTTATTCACATTTTCTCACTTTCAAGGAGCCCTGTGCCCCTAAACCCCAGTGAATGTGGAAGGATGACTTGTACTAAATAGAGAGATCTTGGAGTTGGGACCCAAGTCTAAACCCCAAATTCAGATAGAATAGACTGAGAGTTAGCTGGCACCCATGGGGATTGGTAAATGCCAAATAAATGTGGCTTCTGGTTGTTTAGGATTTATTATTAAAATAGGCATTGTTGTTGTTATTTATATACCACTTTTTCTCTCTCTCAGAGAGAAAATCTTCACTATGTCATCTCTTGCATGTTTAATTTGGGTAGTAAATAGTAAAAGGAAATAGTATCTACAGCAGGAATGGGCAAACTTGGGCCCTCCCTTCAGGGATTTTGGACTTCAACTCCCACCATTCCTGTTAGGAATGGTGGGAGTTGAAGTCCAAAACCCCTGAAGGGAGGGCCCAAGTTTGCCCATACCTGATCTACAGGTACCAGCTGTTCCTCCAAAGCCCAGGAAGGGCCCCTTCCTGTCCCAGGAGGCGCTTAAAAAGCACAAGGGAGGACCTTTACCCAGGCGGATGTGCACACTGGCCGACGCCACGTTGGTGCCATAGTTGAAATCGTCCTCGATGGAGCTCCGCGGGTAGCTGGGGCTCTCCGCAGCCATGACCGTTGCTCGCCCCTTTCGCTTCTGTGGTGTTGACGAGGCGCCCCTTTCCGGAAATTGCCGAAGGGGGAGCGCGCGCTTCACTCGATGGCAGCGGAGGCCTTGGATTTCCTGCTTCCCCAAGAAGGGCACTTCCGTTATGACGTCACCGCTAAGCCTACTGTACGGAACCTTGGGCCATCCGGGTCTTCTTCTTTCTTTCTTTTTCAAAGACTACAGCTCCCACAGTTCTTTGCTAAACAGGCCTGCTGGTTGAAAGGTGTTGTAGGTTGATCGACTCCAGGAAGCCATAGGCACTGAATTTACAAGACCTGATGAGGGATGTTAATGACAGAGTGACTGAGGCCCCTTCTGCACTGCCATATAAAAACCAGACTATCTGCTCTGAACTGGATTATATGGCAATGTAGACTCCTATAATCCAGTTCAAAGCAGACAATCTGGATTATCTACTTTGGTAATTTGAATTATATGGCAGTGTAGAAAGGGCCTAAGGCAACCTCATAAGGGAAGGGAGGTTTCTGGAGCTGAGAGTATGTGACTCACAAAGATTACCCAGTATGTTTCATTGGTTAAAATAATCTGGATTATATTTATTTACAACATTTATATGCCACCCTTCTCACCCTGAAGGGGACTCAGAGCAGTTTACGAGATATAGGTAAGGTAAAGGTTTTCCCCTGACATTAAGATCGTCTGGAGAGACCCTGCTCTCGGTCCCACCGGCCTCACAAGCGCGTCTGGTGGGGACGAGGGACAGGGCCTTCTTGGTGGTGGCCCCTCGACTCTGGAACTCCCTCCCACCGGAGATCAGAACCGCCCCTTCTATCCTGACATTCAGGAAGCAGGTGAAGACGTGGTTATGGAGACAGGCATTCGACGAGTGAGCCGACACCCTGAGATATGGATGGAGGTTGATGAACACCGATTTTAGTGGGACGACTGACCATTGTATTTATTGAATATAATTGCTGTTTTAATGGTTTAATGTTTTATTGTAATATGAAGTATGATGTTTTATTGATTGTATGTGATATTATGGTTGGAAACCGGTCTGAGTCCCTCAAGAGAGGTGAGAAGGTCAGTATACTAAATAAAAAAAAAAATAAACAAACAAATAACTCCAGTAGTGTCCGACTCTGGGGGTTGGTGCTCATCTCCATTGCTAAGCCGAAGAGCCGGCGTTGTCCGTAGACACCTCCAAGGTCATGTGGCCAGTATGACTGCATGGAGCGCCGTTACCTTCCCGCCGGAGTGGTACCTATAGATCTTCTCACATTTGCATGTTTTCGAACTGCTAGGTTAGCAGAAGCTGGGGCTGATAGCGGAAGCTCACGCCGCTCCCCGGATTCAAACCTGCGACCATTTGGTCAACAAGCTCAGCAGCTCAGCCCTTTAACCCACTGGGCCACCGGGGGCTCCTTACAAGATATATATATATATATATATACATACAATATATTATATTATTAGCATAGTACAATATCAGTATTAATTGTTACTGTTTTAAATATATGGATGTGTAGAGTGCATCTACACTATCGAATCAGCACAGTTTGAAAACACTTTAACAGCCAAGTCTCAGTGCAAGGAGATCCTGGGGGTTGTAGGTTTGCAAAGTCTTCAGCCTTGGCCCATAGTGTTGATTCTCTCTAAACTACAACTCCCACGATTCCATAGAATTGAGGCATAGCAGTTAAAGTGATGCCAAACCGTATTAACTGCAGTGTAGATGCACCCCTAGAGTTATTCATAGGGTTGGATCTGTAAGCATTATTTGCCAATACATCACACAGTCCTAGACACTTGGCAAGTGTCCGACGTGTGATCAATACAAAAGCCACCATAGTGATCTTGTTTGCTGTGTACTAATCTTGTCATGTATCAAATAATAATAATAATTTTATTTTTTACCTGCCTCTCCTCATGGCTTTAGGCGGGTTACAGAACAATCAAAACACATAAACACAGCAAAAACACCACAAATACACAAAACATACCTCTATGAAAGTTACACACCAAAACATATCTCTATAAAATACATAGTAAAATGCACAAAACAGAGATTAAACAAAGGACACACATTTAAAATTCATAATATGTCAGTTCAACCAAAATATAATTTTTGCTGCACCAAATGTAGTTTAAAGAGATTTAGGATGCTCAACTTTGAGGAATTTTCTGTTGGTTTTTATTCATGTATTTATTTATGCCAGTGCAGATTATTATCAGAGTTACATAGAGTCATGTCGGGATGCTGTGGTTTGTCTTCCATATTCAGAATTGTATGCAATGTGAGCTTTATCCATTTTTTTATTTAATCAGCTTAACTCAAGACTTGCTTGATTTTGCCAAGTTCTGTTAGGGGGAGGGGGAAGCATTTTTTTGTAACCAATTACATGGAAACAGAGCGAAAACAAAAACAGTTGGATCGGGAATTGTTGGTTTACCAAGCAGATTTGATGAAGAAGCCTAAAAGTACCTCTTTGCTTGCTTTTTTCCTTGCATTCTCAATTTAAGCTCTTTAGAATAGTGTGACACCTTATCAATAAAAAAATCTGACATGAAAATGAAATCTTGCCATCTTAACAGTTTTAATCAGAAAATCCAGTTCAGTACTAAGCAAAGCACAAATTATAAAAGAGACAGTTATTGCTTTTTGAGAGCTACTTGAGATAATAATGTTCATTATTTATTATTTTATGAGAAATGAGTTTCCGAGTACATAAATTCCAGATAATAATTTTCTCTCAGCTGAGTTGCTGGGAGATATCTTCTTCAATGGTTATCTTGGCTCCTAATTATAGGAGAAATCTATCAATGTTTCTTTTCAGAACTATGCTTTTGAATGCAACTGCCATGGATCTGTGAATTATATAGAGACATCAGTGTAGAAGTACAGGTAAACAGGAAATATACATTGTTTTATTTATAGTTGGCCTTCTCTAGCCACAGATTCTGCATGCATACATTCCTCCATTCAAAGCTTGAAAATATTAAAAAGAAAGCAAAAGCTCTTGACTTTGCCATTTTATAGAAGGACCTCTGTTTTACTATATAGTAAGACTTGCATGTTCATGTAAATTGGTATCCATTTTTTAAAATAATTTTTATTTACATACATTAACAGCTTACAATGTAAACAGAACACGAAACAATGAACATTTTACAAACACATAACCCCACCATCAAGGCCTGAACAAGTATCTTTTCCTTTGCCATAAATTTATGAGTCAACCATTAACCAAATGTCATATCCAAAATTCCCGACTAACAAGGTTGTACTGTTTTCCTTTCCACTCTCTAAAACATATTTAATAAAAACCAACCAATATGAATCAAAATCTGATCTGTTATAGGACTAAACGGACTAAACGGAGTTCAGTTTCCCCCCTGAACACCCTCATTTTCATTGATAATTTATCATTTAAGGCTATGGTCCATACCTCCCCATACCATGCTTCCAGCGTGTGATTAGTTACTATTTTCCAATTCCTTGCCATTATAAGTCTCGCCACTGTGATTAAAATAAACACAATTTCTTTATTTTCCATTTCTAAATTCAACTTTGTAGTGTACATTAGTAATACTAACCTTGCATCCGGGGTGATGTTTAGTCCTATAGTAAAGGTAAAGGTTTTCCACTGACATTAAATCCAGTTGTGACCGACTGGGGGTTGGTGCTCATCTTCATTTCCAAGCCAAAGTTGTCCATAGATACCTCATAAGGTCATGTGGCCAGCATGACTGCATGGAATGCTGTTACCTTCCCGCAAGAGCAGTACCTATTGATCTCCTTACATTTGCATGTTTTTGAACTGCTAGGTTGGCAGAAGCTGGGGCTAACAGCAGGAGCTCATCCTGCTCCCTGAATCTGAACCGGTGACCTTCCAGTCAGCAAGTTCAGCAGCTCAGCAGTTCAACCAACTACGCCACTAGGGGCTCCATTTAGTCCTATAATGTTACTTATTTCAATAAATATATCATTCCAAAAACTCTTCAACTGGGGGCATTCGCACCATAAATGAAAATACGTCCCTTTGAGCATGCCACATCTCCAGCAGAGGCTACTTTGTTTACCACCCATTTGATGAAGTTTAACTGGTGTGATAAACCATCTCCATATGACTTTGTACACATTTTCTTATTGACAGATTCTTAACTACTTTCTCCTTTAGAACCCTTTTCTAGTCAAGATCCATCAGAAGCCCTAGGTCTCCTTCCCATACCTTTTCTAACAGCTTCAGCCTTATTTCTTCATCTATTAATCCACTGTATAGTTTCCCAATTAATCCTTTCCCTGATATTTCTTGCTTTTCAAGTTTACTTAGCCATTCTTCATATTTATTTAACTCTCCATCTGGGATTTTTTACCTAACCAGTCCTTTTCCTAGTTATATAGCTGTTACCTCTCAAACCAATTCAGGACAACTTCTTCTTCTAGGTTATTAAACTTGTCCATCAAATTTTGTATCCATTGCAAGTCCCCCCCCCCCCAGGATTTTAGCAAACATAAATTGCTGCATTAAAATGTGCAAGTGGAATCTTAAAATGTTCTCAACTGTCACAAAAAGTAAAAGCATTTAGAATCTAAGCATAATGTTTTTGTTTCAATCACTTTTAAAAGAGAATTTATTTAAATTCCTTCAGTTATTGTTTTTCAGATTACAAAACAAACTGAAATATGCTTAGATTCTATATTAATGGAATAATGACAGTGCCTTCATTTATCAGTGCACTTCAAAAATGACTAATCATCACTAGCAAATAATTATTTTGTATTGTTAGATTTTGTTTTTGTAATTTTCTGTCTGCCTTGTTCCTAAATTGGAAGCTTTTAGTATTATAGAAACATAACTGTTTTTCAATACATTCTTTTACATTTTAGAAATGAGTACTTACATATTTCAATTCCAGCATCTAACAATAAAAACACCGGGAAGTACTGAATATAAAATAGTTTTCAGGAACTGAATGCAAATTTTATTAAATGCTATTCTCAGTAAGCACTTACAAAGATGGTTAATTCTATTTTTTAAATTCTCTATGGACTAAAAAGGCCATAAACATAAACTTTGCATTTAAACACCAATGACATCCATTCTCTCCTACTGTCCTATAAAACTGTAATGCATTTTTCTCCTGAA